TCAATCCCTTTTCTACCAAAAGAGCAGTCCCTTAAATTTGACAAGAGGTTTCAAAGAATTAATCAGTGAGAGAATTTTAATGTAGTGGGAGAATTACATCAACTTTATTAAAAAGTACTACCTGACTCACTATATATCTTACATCTAATGTTTTATATCTATTTTAATGTATTGTACAGATATTTACACGCTGTCATATATAGTGTAGGTTAATGAAGGCTACTAGAGGCTAAACAATAGTGAAAATCCGTACTGACAGATAAATCCTCTCACAATATGGCCCCCAGCATGCACTAGGGATAAGCCTGGAAGATTTAGAGGTACTTTTAAAAGCTAATACTATAGTTAGAATAGAAAACTTTATGTCAAAGCTGCATACTTCTGGAGGTTACACCATACCTCGGCATGTTCTGAGAGACCACTCAAAGGATACAAATATAGTGGTTGAATTTTGCAAAGTTCTCAAAATTTACATACTGATATGGTACAGGAGATGCAATATTATATTTAGTAAACTTGTGTATATAAACAGTAGCAACCTGCTGACTCCATAAAACTAACATTAGATGAGCTTGAGTGCCTCACCGGGCTTGAAATTCCGATCCTCAGCTTTCAAAAACCTGATATGTATCAGATTCAATAGATCTGCTGTACTCAAGTAAAGACTTTCCACAATACGATACTCAGAAACATTTGGAATTTCATTTAGGTTGGGAGACTAGTCACAGGTAGGAATCACTGGATGAGGTTAATGATATAACTGCAAGGACTTTTTAGGATAGGGAATCTCTAGAGCGAAGTCAGAAGTGTTAGTTAGCTGGTATTAGTTCAATTACTAAATGTGATAAACTGAGAGAAATTAAACATTGGAAGCAGATATATAGAAGTCCACAAGCAGCCTACTCATTGAGATATGCTGATAGTGGACATTAGGACTGTACTTGACCCCGTCTTAGTTGTTCCCATCTCTGGTACAAGAGATAGTTAATGACACGATTGATCTGTATACATTTAATTAAATATATTAAATGATTCTATGTATTATACATATTTGATAAACAAATATAAAGTCTAGAAATATATTCATAATAGATTTAGTATTGATTAGTTAACAGGAAAATTGAAAGCAATTAGTTAAGAGATTTAGCAATAGGAATAAAACTAGTTTTACTAGAAAAATACAAGAGTATCAGCAGGGTGGAACAATACTAGCAACAATTGAGAGACAAAAGATTTACAGGAAGTAATAGTAGGTGTTGCCAGATAACTGCAGGACAATCCACTAATGGGCTGCAAATGAATAAATTCTGAGTGTATCATATACTATTCTACTTTGTTTTTTCCTATTATAGAGTGGGTACTGGCATATTATGAATTGTAAAGTTACACATTAAAATACCAGATCACTTATTCATTTTCTTAAATACTGAAATTTAACAAATCATTTAGCACATATATTATGACATTAAGTGTGTACTTTATCAAAAAAGTATTCTTACCTTAGCTATTTTGAGAAAGCGACTTAACTTTTGATGAGTACAATTTGTGATATTTATATAAGTCATACACTGGATAAATATATATGTGGGTGAGAAGGCAGGATGCATAGAAATTAAATAAGTCTATGGGATTCTAGCTGGGGCAGACATAATTGAAAAGAAGTAGTAGAATGTATATGATGTGAGAGAATAAAACAGGTCATACTCAGAAGAGTAGAACATATAAAATGAGAAAAGTAAAGCAGTCATGTCTGAATGCAGACAACTTATATTTGGACACGAGTCCTTTTTATCTGAGATGTAATTTCTTTTTGCTAATGAATGCTAAGACTCACTTGCCTTAGAAGATAGCTCCAGAGGTAGGAAATTCCTCTTATGGAAATTCCTGCCTATTCAATTTACCAGATCTAAATCAAATTAAATAAATCTGTTTGGTCTCTGGTGAATGATAAGCTTCAGAAGTATTATGCTGAGCTATATCTCATGAAGGTTGTTGACAATGGAGTCAAAAAGGCAAGTGAGGTTCTATTATTTATTGTTGGGAACTTCTTGATCCAAAAATCTTTGATTCTCTAGCAGGATCACTAGTGGATAGGATAGAAACAATTATTAAAGCAGATGGATGGTATACCAAATATTAATTTCTACTATGTATTTACATTTTTTTTTTGTTATTATGGTGGTGGGTTTGGTGGGGGGAGCGGGGTTGTCAAGATGAAAGTTTTTCATGTTCATGAGTACGCGGTTAATTTTTACAACGAACAATAATATAGAAAAGAAGACTTGTGTTCGGTATACTTCTGTTTCGCATTCTTCTCGATACTACACTTGCCCACCTCTCTACTAAACATCTTCTCCATTTTCCGTACCCCTCTTACTTCCACAGAACTTAATTTCACGACCTGGAGATAAAGGAGTTCCCACTATGACAAAAATAGTCAACGAAGACAATTTGCCACTATTGCGCAGCAGATCAATAGTGGTGGTTGCGGCTCGAGAGTCTTGATCTCAACCTCGAGTCCCCCTAACCTGCATCCTCTACCCCTCCCAGGTGAAGAAAAATTGAACACCCAACTACAAACTCCACTTGACTTCCACGATGGGTAAACACTTGGTTCTTTCTAATATTCGTTCAAGTTTGCTACCCCCTATCACCATGTCACAGCCCCCCGCCCATCAAAACTGGTTTTAAACAGAGCACGCTGCATTACAAGTATCATGCAATGCATATCAATAATGGCTATGAAGGCCCGCAATGTATCCAGAATAAGCCCAGCACGAGTTCTCATTTGAGCAACCGCCAATAACCCCTTCAAACGTCAACTTGTGGCTTCTTGCTCACCATTAACTCCAGCTCTCACGAGTCACTAACCCATTTGTGAATCCAGTGCGGAGTTCATAATCCTTGCGCAGAATCTATCACCCTTTGTTGTCTTCTCCCACTGGTACATTCACCCGCGGAGCCTTCATCCTCATTCCCGTCGGACTCGCCGTCACCCTCCTCATCGCTGCCTGGAATAACCTCCGCCTCAAGCCCCCTCTTCCGCTTCCCCCTCGCAAACCCGTACGCCTTCATCGCCGGCGCCGCAGGTGAAGCCTCGGAGACAAGTTTGACATCACCCACACCGGTTTCTTGAATTTGTAAACGTGTCACCGGCCGTGACGAGTCGGAGCTGTGCGACGCCCCATTGGATTTCAAAATCGTTACATAACGGATCTGGGAGAGCCGGGTATCGTCAGGGTCTGCGAGGAGCGACGGAGAAGTCTTGTTGTAGTGGATTAATAAACGGGAGTTCAGCGATGTTGTCCACGGGGGTGAACCTGTTGTGTTTGGTGTTACAAGCGAAATACAAGTGCAGTGTACTTGGTGTGAACCGCGGAGAGAGGAGGAATGTACTGACTAAGAGAGGGTATGAGCATCGCTCCGACCCCGGGTATAACCTTAGTTGTCATTTGGTTTAATAACAGCACCTATGTGAAAGCAAAACATTAGACATCTTAGGCCTTCTTATGCACCATAATCCTGAGAGATGATAAACCACATACGGCAACACCCTTCGACCCAGCCAGCTTTCCCAATGCAGAAATCAAATCCCCCATGATAGCAAATCGTCTCACACCAACGGGCTCCGTCTTCACCTTCCCACCGCCCCCACCCCCTTCCTCCTCCATCCCGGGGGGGAAGGCGACGGTAAATGGTGTCGACACGTTATCAATCACTACCAAACTCGTATTCTCTGGCGGGAAGGTGGGCAAGGGATGCACCACCAATGTGAGCAAATGCGCGAGCGTAGGCGTTCGAATTGTCTGCAGGTTTGGGAAGAGCTCTCGAGGATCGCCTGAGCGGGAGAGGATAGCACCTAAACGGGATACGGGGAGTGGGTGGGAGGTGTCTATCCAGACGACTCGGGTCCCGTCTCCGGAGAGGAGGGCATTGGCAGCGGATTGCAATCTGGAAAAACGGCGTACGCGATCAGAATCAGTTCAGGTCAATCGGAACAAGATGGTGATAGTGGCGAGCAGTTCACAATGGGGGATTGGGGATGCTACCCAAGGGTGGTTTTCCCACTACCAGGAGGTCCGCATAGCTCGGTGATTTTCCCACGCGAGAGACCTCCTCCTATTGCCTTATCAAGCTCTTGCGAGCCTGTGCTTATTCTCGAGCGTGTGGATTGAGATGTTGACAGAGCTTGAGAGGCTGACAGTGTCGGCAAGCGGTCTACGACATAATCAACACATGTTTTCGGTTCCTGAAATAAAGATAATTTAGAGCATTACATACGGGAGGAGGAAGGCAGAGGGGAAGTGGATGCCATAGAATATTACCTAGCGGCGGCGATGAACGGACGACTCGTGCACGACGTATAAGAGAGAGGAGGTAACCACACGAGAAATACGGTCAATAGACCACCCCAAATTACCGTGAGCACAATCTATATAAGTGCAAGGGTATTTTGAGGAAGAGTATTGTATAAATGGTAGAACCCTCAACCCTACCGTACGGTGCCCGCTCAATACTAGACCCAATAGAGTGGGGAACACTCAAAATGGACACTTCTGCTAATTCTAACTCGCTTTACCAAGTATGAGCAGACAGTATCTTTCGGCTTTCTGCGAGATTGGTAAATTGAGAGGAAAGAACAGCAAATAGATTTCCTTATTGAGTATTAGGGCTTAAAATATTTCTAGATACAGTCAGCCTAGGCAGTGTTGATTGGGTAGCTCGGATGCTGGTATCATACGAAGATGGTGACAAAAATCGCCGGCCGCAACCATAATCATAAAAGTTAGAAATTAAAAAGGGTAATCATGTTTAAGCAACCACAATAGTTTAGCATCAGAAGTAGGATAGAAGAAAGATGGAAAGGTGAAACGGAGAGCAGATAAGTAATAATAATAAATCCAAGATATCAAAATTCGGTCCGCATTCCTTTTCATCACTTGACATGAACTACGGAGGTACAAGTGCCATGGGTGATGTTTTCGTACAAGGGTTGCCAAGTAATTGGTAGGGTCATGGGGTAAGAATGCGAAATACCGAACATCAAGACAAAGTGTATCATGACCTAAGAAACACCAACAGAATGCCTCATTAGTAAAACCCCCTCTTTTTTAAAGAAATAATACCGGAGCTCCTCCAGGGGAAAAGAGATAAAGGTACTGAATTTGTTGTGAGAAACAAGAGGTTTTTTATGAAAAAAAAAAAAAAAAGACAGACACAGAGTCAAATATGACATCAACCCGCCCACATCATGATTACCTTCGCACAGCAAATTCACCCTCCTCTATTAGTCCAATTACTTCAAGGACTCTTTCGCCTGCTCCCATTTCCCAGCCAGCCTCCAGAAGGATAACTCCAGAAAGAATGTTGATCGTTAGCTTGTTGTGCTCAAAAGTACGTGGTTTGCATAACCATGCTGCCTGGACATGCTGACACATTGCGGAGGAAATTGGCATCGCAGCCAGCACAGTATATTCAATCTGCCAGGCACTAACCACACCTGATAGAGTAAAACCTGTTAGACTAAGGATCCTAACTACTCCTATCCGTAAGAGATTGATTGACTTTGCAACTACAAGTCAGAAAAATTAGCGTCTACCCCTCTGAGAAGTTGCTGAGCTAGCTGGAGTAAATGCTGGCACTGAGGTTCTTTGTACTATATTTGCAACCGAAGGTTATCACAGGTGAGTAGCTTGGGTACGCCCCTTTCTCAATATTAAAGCCAAGGGGAAGAGGCTTGATTGGGCTAAGCATTATGCTAACAGGACTCATACTGATTGGCATAAGGTTTATACTCCTTCTATTTTATTAGTAATTAAGCAGTGACAATATAAATATAAGATTGATTAGGTAATTTGGAGTGACGAGTCAGCATTTAATGTTGTTAGGCTCTCTTCCAGTGGTTAAGTATGGGTTACTTGGCAGGCTGGTGAAGAGAATCTAGAGGATTGTTTAGTACCAAAATTCAAAAACTGGAAACTATCATAGTTTGAGCTTGGTTTAAAGGGCGGCAAAAAGGGCCACTAATTTTTAGGATAAGGAGCAGTGGGGCAAGACTATTAAGGCTACTTCTTTTACTTCACATATAGTTCCGCACTTTCACCAATTTTGGCAGGAGCAATCGCAGCTCCAGCTGGACTATATCTACCTTCAGCAGGATGGGGCAAGCCTCCATCAAGCAGCAGACACCCAGAATCAATTTCGCACGCTCGGTATTTAGGGGTACTTCATCGATTGGCCCTCCTCCTCCCCCAATTGTAGTCCAATTGAAAACCTTTGGCGAACCCTAAAGCAACGTATTCGTCACTGTAACCTCTTTCCCACTACCAATGAAGCCCTCCACTCTGCTATTGAGGAAGAATGGGCAGCTATTACTCCAGATAAGTTGGAAGTACTAGTAGACTCACTTCCGACTCGCCTCTATAAGGTTAAAACTCTACTTCCTTTCTACTTTTTCTCCTTATACTAACTACAAGCTTCAATATAGGTTTGTCTTGCTCAATGTGTCTATTCCGATTATTAAGGATGATTTTGTCTTTTCTTTTTGTTTCTTCTTTTCACCTTTCTTTTATGCATTGCTTGTAATACAGTCGCACCCCTTTGTCCCAGACCTCACTCTATTAGATTCCCCATTGTTTAGGATAAAATTCTTGGATTTCTGAATAAATTTACACTGAAACTGTACCTATTGTTCCAGATAATCTGCTATCCTAAACAAATTCTAGAATCTTAGGAGGATTTTGACTATCCGGCACAGTGAGGTATGACTGTACTTCAAATTTCTTTTTTGGATCTTTTTCATGGCCTCTCTCACTCTCCTTATATTATCACCCTCAGGTCTACATTCCTTTACATGCATTTTCACTATGCTGGGGACTCATTATACCATGAAATACTGCAGCTATGTATTTATGTTTTCCTATGCAATGAATTTCATGTCTTAAACATCCCTGCAGGCTAAGTCTCGTATGAAAGCATCATGCATGGCATTTGTACAGGACCTAAGTAATGTAGGTTCCTCAAACAGGTATATGTCACTCGGAGGAGGTTAGGACAGATTGGATAAGGCTGCTTTGTAGTTATAAAGGGTAAACACTTTTCATAATGTTGGATTTTATGAAGGTTTATAACCAAACTTCACAAGCAAGATCAGAGATATTAGCTATCAATACCAAATATTTTATTCAGCTTCTCACATGAAGTTCTGCTTTTCACCAGACCATTTGGCTTGTTTCTGAACCAGAATATCTGCCACTCCCCTATAGCGTCTATGGAGTTTCCAGCTAACCAGCCATCAATGGCACAATTACCAGCCTCTTCACCTGATTGGCTGAAAGTATATACAAATCCAGGAGAAGACACGCTTTGCTCCATGGCAGATTGCATATGGGTGCTTCCCCGCTTACCCAGTGACTTCAACAAAATGATGCGGACACTGGCCAACTCTCGCCCAAGCACAAATTCAGGATCTCATTACATATGTCTGTATGTCTACCTAGAATAGGCATCTTTTATTACAGAACTTGGCTGAGGAGTGGGATTTGGGTGTAGGGAGAGAAGCTATCCAGGCTGCTTTGATGAAGGAAGGTTTTTACAGACACCTAGCAATGAAAAAACCTGCAATTCCCGAAAGGAATCAACAAATCCGACTTCGATGAACTCAAGAGCATGTAAACCGGTCACATAATCCGTGGAATTCAAATCTGTGGGACTGATGAGACCTGGATTACTAGTAGAAGACATGCTAGAACTTGGGTTACAAGGAGAGCTGGTAAAGAGTGGGATCCTACTTGTATTGTAGAAAAGCATCTGAGAAAGTGATGCTGGAGGTTTTGGAGCTGTTTTCATGATGATAGACAAGGTCCAAGAATATTTTAGGAGAAGGATTTGGGTTCCATGAATGCAGAAAGCTACTATGTACAAACTATTCCTATAATTCATAGGTATATGGAACTGTGCAGGAGAGATCGAATTTACTGGAAACTTATGCAGGATGGAGTACCTGGGTATACTGTAGGAGATATTGCAACTGAGCTTCAAGAGAGGAGGATGGAGGTTATTTTCTGACATGCTTTCTCACCTGACTTAAATCCTATTGAATGAGTATGGCATATTATGTAAAATTATCTACAGGATAATTTCCCAGAGCAGATGTCATATGATAAATTAAGGAGTACAGTTAAGGAAGCTTGGGAATCTATTGGGCAGCAGGAGTTTAGGGAACTGATAGAAAGTATGCCGGTAAGATATCAGGCTGTGGTTGATGTGAATAGTTTTATCACAAAATATCAGGAACAGTATGTCATGGCAGCACGAATTTACTGACTAGCAAGTACACCCTATAAAGTTTTTATTGGACGGCAATATCTTGGATGTGCATTCTTACTATGCTGTAAGCTAACTATGCTATGAATTACCAGTATATGAATTATAGACCATGAATACTAAATAATCTTCAGGCGCTTACAGCCACCATTTCAGTTGCTACTCAAGACTGGCTCTATGACACTAAAAGTAATTTGCTACTTTGATTCCTGCTCCTGGTATACTCCTGTTTGTAGAACCTGCATTACATATGGCCTGTACCTCAGAAGGAGATTTATAAAAGTTAGTGCTAAGCGTAGAAGTATAGGTAGCATTTATGTGGAAACAAAACCGGATTAGGAAAGTTTAGTGACATAGGATAAATAATTGTTGGTGTTATCAAGAAGAAGTTGAGATGATTGATAAAGTGAAATATGGTTTAAGTAATATCTAATAATACAGAAATTGTACAGCCTGTTATTAGAAGTACTCAAAAAAGTGCTTAGTAAGCTAACTTGCCAAAAAAAAATAGAAAATAAAAGGGTGATTGAATTATAGTAATCATGATCGTAATTATAACCATGATTGCAACTGTGACTATGACAGCAACTTTGAAAGTCAAAATCTCCAAACAAAAACACTCAGCATAACATGCTTGAATTAACCTCTTAGTTTTATTTTAGTTATAGTTTACTGATCTGAATATGCAAGTTCCATTATATCAAAAAAAAAAAGAGTAAAATCTAAAACACAGTGAAGAGAGATAACCAAAGTTGAAATAGAGATAATAATTGCCTTTCTCTACTGCCTTTGAAATATAGTTCTTGTTACTTAAGCTATTGGACAGCCTTAGACAAGAATTAAAAACTTGATTGCCTATCATGTAAGTACCAATCTCAGGAGAATATTCCTCAACCTAGTTATACCCCAGCTCTCAGTTTCCAGCAGCCTTGCATAATTGTTTAAGCCGCAAAATTCAACAGGAAAATAAGCATATATACTTTCAGGAGTAAATATCTGCTGGGTGATTCAGTTTCTGCTAGTTTGTACTCTTATGTACCTGA